CCCCAAAACCCCAAAACCCCAAAACCCCAAAACCCCAAAACCCCATAGGACCAAAAATAGCCTATTTTGTGATTGTATGGAGCAATATCACTTTATTTAATAAAATTAAAATGTACAATGGCTATAAAAATGTGAAAAATAACACTGAAACACTAGTTAGATTGTATTGATTTAAATTATAAAACATATTTAGAAACTAGGGAAAAGCTATGCAAAGAAATAAAATCCTAAGTGAAAATGCTGAAATTAGAAGGAAGTACTTCATCGATAATTCAGCACAGCATGTCAATGAAATACTTAACTAAGGTATTTATAAAATAAACATCCTTCAAAGTCAGTTATTAAATCAAATAAAATAGGTAAAAATGAAGAATTGATTGGAAGCTATCTACACAAGTACTAATTTCGAGAAAGAATTAGAGATAAGGAGATTTGTGATTAGGATTTCAGGATGACTTAGTATGAAAATATGAAGAGCAGAGTTGATAGAATCCAACAGCAAACTTAAAGAGCATTGTTATTTGAGAAGTATAAGTAAAAAGAAAAGAATTTTATCTTAAGACCAGATGATAGAACACAAAATAAAAGAGGAGGCTTAAGGTATTTTTAAGCTACTATTTAAAATATTTAGGTTGAGTACTTATTGCGAGTAAGATCGTATAAATGAAGTATTAAAAAGTAGACCAAAGCTTAATGCAGAGGTGCTGGACTAAAAAATGCTGACCTCTTAAGATTTTTTTAGGTCTACATAATTTAGCAAGACTAGCCGAGCACAAAAATAATAAAGCTTAGGATTTAGAAGAACATCCATATCCTAAATGAACAATACTAACTACTCTCAGAATAATATGAGCAAAAATGCTATTAAAGTTGATGATGGCTAAGGAAAGCCTGATCCATACTTTAAGTTTAACTTTGCTGAGGATCTCTCAATGAGGAATTCACCTAGACTTTTAAAACTTAAGTCTAAATCACCTGATTCTGCAAAAAATTCAAATTCAAGATTAAGTGTTAATAAAAGTCTACTAAGTACTACTATTGTTCCAAGTAACAGGTAATATGAAAATTTTGAGAGATTCAATAAGTTATCAATGACCCTTGGAGCAGATAGTTTTAATAACTTCCATAATCCTGGTCAGAGTACCAACTAATTTACCTAATTTGCAACAGATCTAATCAAGACTACAAAAAATAATGCTTTATAGAGAGAATCAAACTCTATTATGGTCCTTAAAGATTAAACTCAAAGCACTTCAAAGTATTCCCCTTCACGTGATTAGATCATTTTGGAATATACTCAAGAAGATCTTAGTTAGCAGCTTAAGAGTATCAAAAAACCAGTTGAACTTGAAAGACTCCTTTCAGAGAGACATAGTTTGATTAATACTAATGTCCATTAATCAATAGAGCATAAGGCTAAGTTGAAAAATGTTATCAAGAATGAATGGGAAAAGCATGTTCTTAACACTTCGACTGGCTTCTTTGACAAAAATAAAATATATATGCAAACTATGAATGAAGTTCAAAATCGAAAATAAAATCTGAGAGCTAGAAGTTTTAACATGCACAATAGTCTTAATAATACATAGAGATAAAGTGAGCAAGTAGTGACTAAAAGATAGCTTAAGATTGAGTGATTAAGTTTAAAGTATTAATCTTATTCTTTAGACTTAGTCATTCATGATTTAGGAATGATTATATTAATATTTATTTGCTTTAAATTATAAAAATAAAAATGATAGGAAAAAGATTATTTAATCTAACAAAGTAGACACTACTACTAAGATAGTCATAACACTTCAGATTCTCAACTTTCCATAGCCATTAACAGATGAACTTTGATTCTTATTTAGTAAATTAAATGCTAGAACAAAAATTGGATGTGCTAAGCTTAAACGATAATGAAAATGAAACTAAACAAATGATCTTCAATGAAAATGAAATCACAGATTTAGATGAAGTCTTGGACCTCAAAGGTAGAAATAGTAAATAACCTAAGAAATCTAATCATGGGGCAAGACCCTGTTCAAGTGTAATGAGAAAATTAAAAAGATGCAGACATTACAAGGGAGGTATCACAGTCGGCTGATATAAATGGTTAAATCCTTACGTGCAAACTGTCTATCTAAATTAATTAGCCATAAATCATAATTTATAGTTGATTTTTGCATTAAAGCATACTCTTTCTTAACTTATCTAATGGTTAATATTAAAATATATGTATTTAGTCATCCACTCTATTCATTTCAAACACTGATGTAAAATATTAATTAATTGCCAAAAGCAAAATTTTCGATTTTCAATTATCACATCTCTAATTCTTCACTTATTTATAATTATGGGGTTTTGGGGTTTTGGGGTTTTGGGGTTTTGGGGTTTTGGGG